AGTTTGCCCTTTGTCATGGCAAGGGGGGAACTAGGGCAGCTACTATTCACGTAAATAGTGGCTGCCCTTGCCATATTAAGATATGTGTGTTTTCAGCAGTTGCCCTTTGCCATGGCAACTACAATTCATTTTTTTGTTTTTTTCACAACTTTTTTTACTTAAATAATTATTTTTGATAATATTTTCGGGTAAGATTTTTGGGTTCCTACGCTGGCGGATCCAGAATTTTTTTAGCGGAGGTGCAATATATATCACCAACCCAAAATTCGTAACTGCAGCGTTACTATTGGGCTTACTCACCAACAAGGGTGACTGTTGCTGCCAATAGTCACAAAAAAAAATGGTAACTATTGCTGACTTTTTTTGTAGTGGTCAGTACAACATGACCAAAGACCATCAATAAGGTTAAGGAGCCTAGAGAGTGTCACCTATCATACGTATCTGTCTACAAGGGATCTTGTCAGACTAAGAATATGAACCACACACATTCATGCAAGAACCAACCTGATTAAGTCCAAGTTCACATTATAGCAACATAAAGTGATAGGGAGCTAGGAACCTTGATTTTATACAAAACTAATCATGCTCTAAAAGTAAACTGACCTGATTTTTCCTGGTACTCCATTCTTCATTCTCCGTTTCCGATTTTGCAGCATGATTGTGCAATAGATATCTTCGATTACAAGTATAGATTGGTCAGGCATGGCAAACAACCTTCTCTTCAAATCAGAATTGGAACCAACATCTGCTAGTTGTCATAGTTAAGGTGCTTTGCGATGGCTGCAATCAAGCTGGACTTGCCTGTGCCAGGAGGGCCGTATAACAAGTACGATATTGCTATATAGTAAGGGCCTATTTGATAACCATTTCAATTTTATTTTTTAGTTTTCATTTTTCATTAGAGTATAGAGGGAGAAAAAGAGAGAATGTAAGTGAGAATGAGAGCAGAGATGAGATTGAGAAAGAAGATGAGAGAGGAGGATGGTAGGGATGAGTAACAAAAGTGAAAAGAAAAACTAAAAACTGAAATCTATTTCAAATTGTTTTCACTTTCAAGTTTTTGTTGTCACTTTTCTTACTCCTCCCTCCCATCCTCCCAGTGGCGGACCTGTGCAGGCGCAAGGAGGTGCACCTGCACCTCCGGTCGCCGGAAAACTCCATAGAAGCTGCTGAAGTTGCACCTCTGCTCATGCACGGAAGCTGTTCGATGAAATGCGCAAGTGAAGCGCTGCTGTGATTTGTCCTCCACAAGGCTGCAAAGAGCTTCTGGTGGAACCACTTCTTCGAAAAGAGATGATTCATCGAGTTGATTTGTCATATCCCATACTTTGACTTCAGGGAAGTGGCTTTGATTTCAATCTCTTTAAAAGCCCAAGTGGTATAGTAGCAAATTCTCTTAGAATAGTGAAGTGTTAGTAGCTAGTAACTTGTTAGTATGTTATTTGTTAGTAATTATAAATTAATACGGTTGAGAAATGGCTCCGATTAAAAAAAAAGAAGAAAGAAACATTAAAGCATTATTTGATGAACAAATTTTACTTGACTTGAGTGAGTGTAATATATCTTGGAAATTTCTCTTGTAATTAAGATGCCTTTTTTATTATATAATTTTTTATATAATATGTTGTCACACCCCAATTTATTTACTTAATTATTGAGAGTGTGAGGTAAAAGAAAAACTAAAACTTAAAATTTAAATAGCAAGAAACATGAGAATTAAACATAAAACTTCTATTTAAACCAGAGTAATTTACATTGTGATTTTACAAGCAAAATAACATAAAAATACAGACTTTTAACATTTGCTCTATTGTAATGTTTTTTTTGTTCATGTGATAATTACACAGAACCTTTAAAAGCCCAAGTGGTATAGTAGCAAATTCTCTTAGAATAGTGAAGTGTTCGTAGCTAGTAACTTGTTAGTATGTTATTTGTTAGTAATTATAAATTAATACGGTTGAGAAATGGCTCCGATTAAAAAAGAAGAAGAAAGAAACATTAAAGCATTATTTGATGAACAAATTTTACTTGACTTGAGTGAGTGTAATATATCTTGGAAATTTCTCTTGTAATTAAGATGCCTTTTTTATTATATAATTTTTTATATAATATGTAACCCTACTCACTCATATTTTTTCTTATTGATCTTATATATTTAAGTTACGACTATTGTTATTATTAGGCTTCATTATTGATATGTCCCTCAAATCTTAATCTAGTCTTACTTTGCTTACTTAAAACTCAATTTGCCTCACATAAACCTCAAATCTTAATCTCGTATCTACTTTGCTTCATATTCTTCAACAACTCTTTTAGAGAATCTAAGTCTTTCAACGTTGCACGAGTGGGAACACTCGTTCAATGAAGTGTTAGTTAGGTTGTTGCCACATGTGTAAAACTTAATATATCAGAAAATTTATAATAATATAATATTGCTTTTAAAAGAAAAACTTTTTGTCAAAAAATTTGTGTACACTACTATTTTTCCCGTTAAATTACCACGCTAATGTCAACTTATCCCTTCGAACTTCTTTTTTTGGGTTAATTAAAGACCTAAAATATATAAAATAGCGAATATGGGGAATTGGCTTTAATTTTTTTTCGAATTTTATTCAATTTTCTGATAATAGTAAAGGAAAATTTATAGCTTTAAGAAAAAGAAAATTTAAGCTATTAAAATGCTAAATATATAAGTAAAAAAATTAAAAACAGAAGAGCACCCTTTAATTTCTAATGGAAGATATAAAAATGACTTCTTTTTTTATATATACAAATGGAAATAGGGGAAAAACTCTAGAACAAGGGACCAATAAGCAACACTAACTAGACGAGGCTTAGCAACTCCAATTACATTGTCAAGAAGTCCAGTACCAACCCAAGATGGAGTAATTTCAAAAATACACATACTTAGATCCAAATTAAAACTCCAATTCGCAAGATCAACCATGTCATTCTTTTCACGACAAATGTGGGCCACCACACAGCTTCCAATCTCCTGCATCATTTCCAAGCAACAAAAAATTAAACCAGCAAGAGGATGCAATCACGTTAGAATTCCGCAAGAGAGTAACAGCAACATCAGAATCCATCTGTACTAAGAGGCTGCAAATTCCTTTATCCACAGCTAACTTGAGACCAAAGAAAAGACCCCAAAGTTCATCTTCCAAAATTTCACCATTCCCTAGATTTACTGCAAAACCACCAAACCAATCTCTTATAACACCCCATTACTTCCATATCATCATCATAAGTATAGCCTTTGTTGTAATGGTTAATTTTATCATATTGTATTTAGTTTACTCCAATATTTCACACAAATCAAACTATTTAAATAAAAAAAAACACTTTTGCAGAAAAAAAAAATTCTTTTTTGATACAGTACAAACAATCATTAATTATAAGTTCGATGTTATTCTAACACAATTAAAACCGCTGCCGTTGCAAGTTCAACTTATTTTTTTTTTCATATATATTATGAAAACTGTTGCTTTTAATAAGTTTATTATTTCGGGCTATAAAAGCATGACTTAGATGATCACACTCTTTGTTACATAAGCTGTTCATATTTATAGTGTTTCAGAATTAGAACGTTTTATTGATGTGATATTTTAAAGAGAGTTGTTTAATTATTGATAATGTAACTATTGGGTCTTTGGATATGTAGATATAAGCGCATGCATGCGTTTTTATTTTTAGTTATATACCCATTCTTAGAAAATTAACACACAAAAATTAACAAAAAATAAGAAACTTAGTTATATACCCATTCTTAGCACTAGTGGATAAACCCTACACCATTTAATTTTATAAACAAACAAAAACAAAAACCTAAAAAGTGATAGTTGGTCCAATTGAATTTAATTTTGATTATTAAATTACGTTGATACCCTATTGAGTGTTTTGGGTTTTCTTTTATGAGGTTTTGGGGTTAGGCTTGTTTTAAGAAATTGATGGTAGTTTTGTAATTTATAGGAAGTTCAAAGCCCCTTTATTATGTTGTAAATGGACTTTGGGTGTGTTTTTAAAGTTCATTTCATGTAATGATTTTTTATTTGAGCCCTTATATTAGGTATAATAATGAATTTCCCAAAATTAAATTTACATCTCCATTGAAGCAAAAACCATATTTACAACATTTACATTTACTTGAGATACAAAGGACATATAAATATGACTTTAGCAACATTAATGCGACTCTTATTTTCCAGTTAACGTTAATGCTACACTTAGAATAATATGTTTTTTTTATAATGTTTAGTTGCTAAATTAGTTTACGAAATTCACATAGCGAATGATTTGTACATTTAAAATGGGAAAAAAGTTTTCTAAAGAAAGTTTTATTCTAACATATCTTATATCCTTTTTAGGATAAAATGACAGAAAATATTTTTTACACCTGTCCGGCGAATTAAAATGACATAAATTATTGCTACATGAATCCCACATGTTACAGAAAAACCAACCTGAAATTTCTACACCTGTCCGGCGAATTAAAACCCATTAAAAATAGGATTCCGCATCCCAGTGGGAATGAATGAGAGCCTATAAATACTCATTTGGTCTCTTACCCTCATCTCATCACTCGCCGTCTTCATTCTCATCACTCTCTTGCTCTCTTCACTACTATCGCTGTGTTTTAGGAAAGATGATGATCGCCAACTACAATAACACAAATACTTGTTATGGCTATGGCCATGGTTCTCAATATCAACAATTATCTACAGAACATGAGGAATTGAGACGAAAAAGGAAGGTGAATAAGTCTGATCAAATTCAAGAATTACTAGTAGAAAATAGGAGGAGGAAGATTCATAACGGGAAGATGAAGCTGATTTGTGGGTCTTGCTATCTTCCCAAAGACAACCCAGACAAGCCCCTCGGCGAAGACGCCCACTTCATCTGCCACGACTGCCAGACCATCGGCGTGCGGCTGGTCCAAGATAGGCGTCGATGCAGGCATGTACGCAAGGGGACTCATGAACAACGCCAACCAAACGGCCATGGACATGACCCGAGAGGCAGCCGCCGCTGTCGATCCAAGAAAAGTGTTGAACCAAGCATACGCGAACAACGCCGGAGTACAAGGCTCGTCCACAGCTTGCATCCTCAGCCTCAACAAAGAGCGTGGGGCACTGCACGCCGTGAATGTCGGGGACAGCGGCTTCATGGTGTTCAGGGACAGCAGATGCTTGTACAAGTCTCCACCTCAGCAACGCATGTTTAACTGTCCGTACCAGTTGGGGAACTACGTCGGCTACGACCGTCCCAAGGCGGCCCTGGAGTTGGTGATGGAGGCAGTCCCGGGGGACATCATAGTGCTTGGGACAGATGGGTTGTTGGACAACATGTTTCCGAGTGAGATTGAGGATGTTCTTGTGGCGTATAGAGGAAGCGGTCGGGATTGTGAGGAGTTGGCTTCCGCCATAGCCAACCTGGCGCTGTTTAACTCGTTGGACAAGTACAGCGTTAGCCCTTTTCAGATAGAGGCTGAGAAGGCGGGGGTGGAGCACGCGGGAGGCAAGATCGACGACATCACTGTTGTTGTCGCCCAAGTTGTGGCTTCTAGTACCTCCTTCACTACACCAGCTAGCTTAGGTTTCGGTTTTGAACGCACAAATACGAAGAGAAAAAGAGAAGACTATATATAGGTTTACAAATTGAGGTTGTACTTCCACGTTATTACAATTAATACAATTCTTTATCCATATATATAAAGCAAAAGTGCTGCTATTTTCGCCCCTTTGTCCTATTTTCCCACCAAATATTTAAAAAAAAAACTTTAACAAAGGGAAAAGCTTTAAAATTAAAAATTCATCTCCAGCTTTTCATAAAAATAAAAAATCATCCCCAGACCTCACCTTCTTCCCTAATCCGTCTCCTTCTTTCTCTCTCTTCGAATGAACCCACTCATCCCTAACAGCCCTCTCCAAACCCTAGCACCGTACCATCTCCTCACAGCCACCCACCCCCACCCCCACCCTACCCCCTAGTGTCACC